TGGGGGATAATGGACAGAGGAGGAAAAAAGTCTACAGAGAACTGATCAACCTTTTTTCCTCCATTAACCCCGAGCATCTCTATCCCTTGGACCTGTCCACCGAGGCCACTGCAGTAACTGATAGGTCCCCAGCCAGGAGATCACCCAGACTTGCAGAGCAACACCCACCAACCTTGCCTAGATGAAGATCTTAACTTGGAATATCAGGGGACTTGGCCACACCTCTAAACAAAAAGCAGTCGGAGACCTGTGTGCCAAGTCGAAACCCTCCTTATTGACTATTTTAGAAACCAAACAACCTGATCCTGACCTTTGCTCTGTTAGAAAAGTGTGGGGTACGTCACCATGCCTATGGATCTCTCGCCCAGTTCTAGGGGCCTCAGGAGGGATCTGGGTGATTTGGGACACCACGGAACACTCTCTGACTTCCACTCACATAGGTGATTTTTCAGTCATGGTCCTCCTCTCCAGGAGAACTGACCACCTTAAGTGGAAGTTCACTACTGTGTACTGCCCCAACAGGTCAGCTCTGAGACCAAAATTTTGGGAAGAAATTGAAGAAATCGCCAACCTTCCTCACCCCATCTGGTGTCTGGGGGGGTGATTTCAATATCACTAGATGGTCTTTTGAAAGAAACTCCTCTTCCCAAGTCACCACATCCATGTATGAATTCTCCGATCTCATTTCCAGACTCAAAATAATTGAAATTCCACTTCTAGGGAATCAATTCACTTGGTTGGACCATAGAGCCCAACCCACTCTATCTAAATTGGACAGATTCTTAGTCTCCCCCTTTTGGGATGAAACTTTCCAGGGTCTCACGCCTTTACTCTCCCTAAACCCATTTCAGATCATTGCCCCATACTTTTCAATACCCAATCTGGCCCTAGAGGACCCAAACCCTTTCGTTTTGAACTGGCTTGGACCTTAGAAAAAGCTGACAACACTCATTGATTCTTGGTGGCAAGCTTTCTCAAATCAAGTCTCTGACAGAACTGGTTTTAGGCTTCAGAAAAAGTTGCAGCTCCTCAAAAAATCTATTATTTCATGGAAATCCTCCCTGTACGGAAACTTCTCAGTGTCTAAAAGATCTCAGCTGGAGATTATCCAGAACCTAGATAAGATTGAGGAATCCAGAGATTTGTCCCATGACGAAGCCAACCTCAGACAAAAACCAAAATATAATGCCTCACCACTCTCAAAAAGGAAGGACTATTTTGGTATCAAAGGTCTAGAGTCACTTGGCTGAAGTCAGGGGACCTAAATACCAAGTACTTCCATAAAATAGCAAGTAGTAGACGCCAAACTAATCTGATCCAAACCATCAAAGTTGGAGAGGTGCTGCTTGATTCGGATAGTGAGATTGAAGGGTTTTATCTCACGTTAGTAACCTTTACTCTGACCCTAACCTACCCAGACCCTCTATGGAAGACTTTGTGTTCAAAACCCTTCCTGCTGAGAAAGCTGTGTGGATTGAGCGCCCCTTCTTTGATGAAGAAATTGAGAAGGCAGTCAAAGACCTGGTCCCTGACAAGGCTCCTGGACCCGATGGATTCCCTATGGCTCTGTCCAAAACCTATTGGACCACGTTTAAGGAAGATTTTAAGATTTTCTTCGAGGAATTATATGAGAGAGGCATTCTAAATAAAGCCATCAATGCCACCTTCCTCGTTATGGTACCCAAAATTGAAGGAGCAGAGAACATTAAGGACTTTAGACCTATTAGCCTCCTTAATTCTTCCTACAAAATCCTCTCAAAAGTCCTTGCCTTCGGATTAAAACAGGTCCTAAATCTAGTTATCTCCCCATCCCAGTCAGCTTACAGATCCTAGATGGAGTTCTGGTAGCCCATGAATGTATCCACTCACGCCATAAAAGGTAAAAACCAGGCCTTATCTTCAAGATCGTTTGGGAAAAAGCTTACGATCACGTTGATTGGTCAATCCTTGATCAAACCTTACACAAGATGGGTTTTGGAGAGAGATGGAGGAAATGGATGAAAGGGTGCTACTCTAGGCCCTTTTTCTCGGTCCTCATCAATGGTTCCCCTAAGGGATTCTTCCCTGCCTCAAGGGGGCTTAGACAAGGAGACCCATTATCCCCCTTCCTATTTACCATAATGGGAGAAGTTTCAGTCAGTCCATTTCCAGATTATACCAGGCTAGATTACTATCTGGTTTCAAAGCAAGTAGAGCAGGCCCAATAGTGTCTCACCTGCAATACGCAGATGACACACTGGTTTTCCTTGATGCTAATGAGAGGGAGACCCTTAACCTTAAAATTTTCCTAGCTTGCTTTGAAATAGCTACTGGTTTTAAGGTCAATATGGCTAAGTCAAAAATGATTGGAGTTAGCCTAAATGCATCCCAAACAAGAAGCTTTATCCTAGGGTGGGAATGCGCGGTAGAAGACCTCCCCACTGCTTACCTGGGACTCCCACTAGGCCTTGGTAGACCCAAAAAACAGATGTGGGCCCAGGTGGTTGATAGAATAGATAGAAGGCTAACTAGGTGGAAAGGGCGTTACCTATCTTTGCTAGGTAGATGCACACTTATCAAAGCCTCTTTAGCAAATACACCCATCTTCTTCATGTCGCTATATCAGATTCCAGTTCCTATAGCTAAGAGGATCGAACAGCTTATGAGAAACTTTTTGTGGTCTGGTTCGGCAGAGACCACAAAACGACGGGAGGTTTGGGGATTAGAGACTTAAGGAAACAAAACTTGGGCTTGCTGGGAAAATGGTAGTGGAGGCTAGCTTATCACGAGAACCAACAATGGGCTCTGGTGATAAAAAGCAAACACAACCTCCCTTCTTCAAAGTGGCTGACACCTGCCTTTGGGCCAGGTATATGGAAACCTTTAAGATCCATCCTCCCAAGCTTTAGAGAGCACATTAGATTCCATGCAAGAGGAGGAAGTAGAGTGAGGTTCTGGGAGGACAAGTGGCTAGCCTCCTTAACACTCAAACAGATTCTCCTCACTTTACGTTCTTTCTAATTACAAAGAATCCACAATAGAGGAGGTCATGACCAACTCACGTAGCAGAAGGACTTGGAGTCCATCTTTTAGAAGGTCGCTATCTTAGGACGAACTTATTGCCTTCTCTTCTCTAAGCTTGGAATTGCATGGAGTCTTCCTTGCTCAGTCAGGGAAAGACTCGATGATATGGACTCCTTCCCCATCAGGAAGATTCTCTGTTAAATCTTTTTATAAGGTTCTAGTAGAGGGGAATGACAATTCTGACATCTCAAGCAAAGCATGGGACTCTATAGCTCCACCAAGGGCCCAATTCTTCCAATGGCTTGCAACTCTAGGAAAACCCCTAACCATTGATAATCTCCAGAATAAAGGCTTTCAAATACCTAACAGATGTGTAATGTGCTTAGAAGAGGAAGAAAATTTTACACACCTGTTATTACACTGCAAGTTGGCCTTTGCTATTTGGAGCAAATCCAGTTGTTTAGTTTGATGTGGGTGATTCCACCTTCTATTCCGTCTTTGATAGCCCAATCTTTCGAGGAAAAATGGAGAAAATCAGGTAAAATTCTGTGGAAAGCATCCTTAGCGGCTACCCTATGGCATCTATGGAAGGAAAGAAACTCTAGAACTTTTCAAGGGGAAAAGAACTCCACCTTCACTCTCTTCCATAAAATAACAGACTCTGTTATTTTTTGGGCAACCCACCATAAATTGTTCACGGGAATCTTGACATCTTCCTTTTTACGAGATTGGAGTAATCTTCTATTCTTCACCCATCATAAAAGTGAAATCAATCCCAGATGGACCCCTCCCCTAGAAGGTCAGATTAAACTCAATTTTGATGGGTGCTCTTTAGGTAACCCTAGTCCTGCAGGCATTGGAGGAGTGTTTAGAAACTTTGAAGGAACTATCCTCCTTTCGTTCTCGGAGTTCATAGGAACAAAAGACTCACAAACAGCAGAAGCTTTGGCCCTTCTAACTGGAATCAAACATTTTAACCTTATGTGGGGTAGAATCCTGCTCATAGAAGGAGACGCCAAGAATATCATAACCTGGGGATCTGGGAAAAGCGACCCACCTTGGTATTTGAGTCACATTTTTTATGAGATTAACACTTATGTAGGGACCTGGATGTCACGTGGCAGCATACCCGAAGGACCACAAACGCAACCGCAGATGCACTCGCTAAAGGAGCAGCACGCCAATCTTCTTCACAGAGTGCTTAGTTTAGATAGACTATGCACAAGGGCATCTATACGCCCTCCATCCTTTTGTCTGCTTTTGGATATGGGCAGTTCTATAAACTCCACCATGTAAACTACTTTAATGTAGAGTTCAACTTGTGACTGGATTGCTCTTGGTCCTCCCCTCAGGAACCACGATACAGGTTGGGCTAAGCTTAGAGCCCAACTGTATCGAACTTTATGTACTATGTACTGTGTTTCGAGTTTATTATTTTCAGGTAACAGTTATAAAAAAAAAACAAGTTCTTGAATACTTCGATTTTATTCTATTGAGGGCTCTCGTAAGACAGGGAATTGAAGCTCTTTTGAAGCCCCTCCCCCTCATTGGCCTCCAATATGTCTGGGTTCTAGGCCAATACAAAAAGCTTAATGTAGCCAAAACTCAGGAGTTGTTCCCCTATCCATGTAGCCTTGTATCTGTCCAAAATCTGGTTTCTTCCCATTTCCAACCATAATTCTGATTTTGCTCATTGATGGGTATCTACATCCATTATCCCTCTCCATCTGCCCGAGTGTCTGGCACCTCCATGGTATGATTTACAGACCATCTGAGTTCATTCTCCCATATTTGGTCTTGTTTACTTGTTTCCAAACTTGGGATAATTGAGTGCCAAACCCCTCAACCACCATTTGGCCAGCAGTGTCTGATTCATTTTTTCGATTCTTTTGATTCCTAGCCCCCCCCTCTCTTTAAGTTTTTAGTTTGCATGCACAGTCAGTAGAGACTCCCCCAGAGAAGATGACTCATGAGTTTTTGAATTTGTTTTGCTACAGAAGAAGGGCAAACAAGAACATATAATAAATAGGCAGGTTTGAGACAGCAGATTTTATGAGGGAATTGCGCGCTCCCATCGTCAAGAACTGAACATTCCTGGATGCTAAATTTTCTGTGAAGTCTTTCATTGACTCATCACCATTGTGCATTGGCTGGCTTGCCTGTGCATGCCGCACGTAAGGTATTTATTGGGTAACTTACACATCAGATATCCCACACATTTTGCTGGGCCTTTAAAATCTTCTTCAGGGACTAATACACGTGTAATTCTTGTTTTCAACATGTTTATTCTAATCCTTGAAGCTACCTAAAAGCATATTTAAAATAGTTACAATTTCCTCATTTGCTTTGTGTTAGCTTCACAGACATTCTGCAGATGACGCACTGTTGGAGACAGGCGAACAGTTGAATCCTGTCATTAGTCCACTATTATTTTTGTATTTTAGGATGCTGTGTTAGTTTTATTTTTTGAATTTTAACTCACCTTATTAAATATTTTATAAAATAATCTAATTTAAAAGGATCTTTACAAGTTGAATCCGTAAAAGATCATGTTATGTTACTATACTAGGCTGTGGGGCCTCCTACCAGCCATATATTTAGGACTTCTGTTTGGCATTGGCAAGTTAAGAAAACCGCTGTGGGATCCCATCGGGGAAGAATTTGACTCTTTAAGTTGGCAGGGTGGAAGGGTAGGTTCCTCTCGATGGCGGGCAGTCTAACTCTCATCATGGTCACCCTCTCAAATGTTCCCCCCCATCTGCTAGATGGTACTTTTTCAGATTGCTATTTCTATTGCTGCGCATCTCTAGTGAAAGATGTGAAATTTTCTGTGGTTGGGAGAGAATGACAAGCACGAAAGTTCACCTCCTGTTTGGGAAAAGGTCTACCTACCTAAGAAACAGGGTGGCGTAGGCGCCGTCTCCATTTAGGCAGCAGCCCTGCTAGGAAAATGGTGGTGGCGTTCTGCCCCCTAACACAGCTACCAATTGGCAATTGCAGCAAGTTTATGCCAGAAATACCATATAAACTTCCTTTATTGGCTGCCCAGTGAGCTGTAGTAGATCATGAGGGGTGTGGTGCTCGCTACTATTGTTTTTGGACCAATTCTGCTCCAATGGTCGGTTCAGAGTGAGATGGTGCTCTTGATTGAAATTTTGGACCGACCTATGGATTGGAAACTCTCATCTGCGGGAAAGCTTCAACAATCTTTAGTTGCTGGCCAGGGACAGTGATGCTTGGGTTTCAGATCTCTTTGAACTATTAGGAAAGGGTGTGGAGCCCAAACGTTAGAAGACCCTTGCTGAACCAGGAAGTTTCTTCACTCCAGTCCCTTCTTACCGCCCTACAAGCTATACATACTTACCACTGCCGGGGTCAATACTTATTTGGATGGCTTCATCATCTGGTAAGTTTTTGGTACCATCCTTCTATGCCAAGCTCTTTCTGCACCCCTCCACCCCTCATGTAGCTTCCTGTTCTTGCATTCCTGCCATTCCCCTGAAATCTAAGTTTTCTGCTGGTTGCTGATTTCTGAGTGGGTCCTCATGGTTGACCAATGTGCAAAGCTGCAACCTATGAGCACCTCTTTTTGCTCTGTGATTGGGCTTCCAGCATCTGCGCCCATCTCCTCCACCTTTTCATACGGCATTGGGTATTGCCATCCTCCATCCCATCCCTGTTCCAGAGTTTCTTGTCTCTACTTCCTTTAGAGAGCAGCAATGACAATTATTTGGGCCATTTAGAAGGAAAGGAACCTGAGAATTTTCGTGGGAAGAGAAAACTCGGCCACGAGTATAATGGATAGGATCAAGGCTACAGTTATCTTTTGGGTCACAAACTCTAAAAGGTCCAGACACTTTGCTACCAGTGACTTTCTTTGACTGGTAAGCCACATTGGGAACCTCGGTGCCCCACATTCCTCGATCCTTACTATGGCGCCCCCCAGGACCTGGTTCTCTTAAGCTCAACGATGGTTGCTCCCCCTGCAATCCAGGTCTGGCTGGTTTTGGTGGCCTTTTTAGAGATCACCGTGGCAACATGTTACTATCTTAGTCTGTGTCCATTGGCAACACAGATTCCACTACCGCTGAGGCTGTAGCCCTTTTAAAAGGGATCATATGGGTTAGGGTGGACTGGTTTGATTGTTTAGTGGTGGAAGGGAAACTCCAAACACCTCATATCCTGGGCCAAGATGGATTCCTCATGTCCTTGGCGGCTCAACCACATTTCTTACATATTTTTTACCTTTACAGGCTTATGCATATCTTCTTTCGACATACATGGCACGACAAACCATGATGCTTATAAACCTGCTAAAGCTGGAGTGTGTTCTAGTTCAGAACTAGATACTTCGACCGGTGGAACCTCCTTGGCAATGTATTGAGCTCGGCTTCCACTTTTTGTATTTTGAACAGCAATCTCTCTTTTGTACGCTGTGTTGTGCATGGTTTATCAACCATTTTTTTATAGCAGTATAGATTCTGTTAGAAGGCTTTTTTTTTTGGAAGCTGCAATGAGCAACCGTTCTATGGGCTGCCTGATTCCTTTTTGTAACTCTTTTACATTTACATCTTCAAAAAAAAACCGACATAATTAGTTTGATATAAAAAATATTGCAAGAATACACACACATATGAATAATTCAAGGAAGGAATAACAACAAAGAGGCCTTTGTCAAGCTGGGTGGCACCTAAAATGGTAAATTATCCGGAAACCTTGTTGCATCACGGCATAGTACAGTCATCCATATCAACCCTTTGATCTGCCAATAAGACATGATATATCAGCAAAACCATATTCTATCAATAATGTTCTTTATCTTATTGAAGATTTATGCATATCTTCCTGGGTTTAGAGTATGTCCTCTAGTTGCTCAAATAACGTCCCAACCAAAGGGTTGTTTAGCTTCCAACTTGCCTTCTCTTAAGGGGCCGATAAATCACTACGCTAACCCATCCTTATTATGGAACCTTCCTCGAATTCTAGCTGGACAAAGTTACCTTCCATTTGTCTGTTAATGGCACCAAATTCTGGTGATTGATTTGGGCAAGTATTCTCAAATAGTCTAGGAGTTCTAATTTGATCCTATCCATTGTTGTTTCTTAAGTTCCTGCAATGCACAACCTCTTCTAGGTCCTAGCTATCTAGAACTGATTTTAGAGTTCCTAAGTTGTACTGATTCTGTCTTCTTGAAATGACAACAGAAGCACGGCCACTATCTTTATGTTACTTTTGTCTAACGTTAGTTGGCCCAAACAAGAGTTGTGTAACCCATGTACTTCAGACAAACCTAGCTAACATTTTGTGAGGGCTTACTAAACTTTCACTGGATATGGAGGTCTCAATTAGCTTCTTCCCACTCCTTACAGAAAAGCACATATTTTCTGATATAAATCCCAATGTTGAAGATGTTCTAGCCTTGTGAAAAACACATATTTTCCCTCCTTATTGAAGATGTTCTAGCCTGGGAAAAACACATATTTTCCCTCCTTATTGGATCCTTGGGAAGCCATCGACTCTAGACCAAACACCAGAATGCTTCCATCACATTGCCAAATAGTTGGGCCTGCAAAACATTAATGGGTTTGTCCAGGTCATGTCTCAACCATAATCCTTTGGCTCTCTAGCGTTGTAACTGAGCTTCCAGCCCTTGTTTCTCCACTGTTGAGGAGTGTAACATGGATGGATGAACACACCTCCTAAAAACTCCTGAGCATTGCCCTTTATCAGAAAAAAAACTCCTTAGCATTCCCTTAGTGTTAGGACTCACTAACACTTGTATTGCTTTCGTTGAACATATGGATGGTCTGTTGGTACTTGGTTGGGTGTTGGGAGGAAGAGATTCACGTGAGCTCTTATGGATGTGATTTTGTCGGCATGTCAAGAAACACTTGCTTGATGGAGACTCACTCGTATTTTTGTGGGAATGCTATGACATTAATAGCTTTCTCATCATCATCATTCATCATTATTTTAGCTTTTTCCCAATTAATTGGGGTCGGCTACATGAATCTTGATTCTCCATTATGCTATATTAAAGGCCATATCCTTAGTGAGGCCATAAGTTCCCATATTTTTTTATACTACTTCCAACCACATCCTTTTAGGCCACCCTTTACATTTTTTAGTCCTTCCACTTGAACTAATTCACACATCCTAATAGGTGCTATACTTGGTCAGCACCACACATGGCCAGCCCACCTAAGTCTACTCTCTCTCATTTTATCGCCTATTGGTGCCACGCCTAAATTCTCTCGAATAGATTCATTGTGAATTCTATCCCTTCTTGTCTTGCTACTCATCCATCTTAACATCCTCATCTCCGCTACACTCATTCTATGGGTATATTGTTTTTTGTCTGTCCAACATTCTACCCGGTAGAGCAAAGCTGGTCTCACTTGTGTCCTATAGAACTTGCCCTTCAGCCTCATTGGTATGTAGCGATCACAAAAAATTCTAGTTGCACATCTCCACTTCGCCCACCCAACTCTAATCATGTGTGCGACATCTTTCTCGATCTCTCTATTTTCCTAGATTATCGACCCAAGATATCGAAAGTGCGGTCTTTTTGTACTTCTTGGCCATCAATCTTAACTACTTCCTCATCTCTACTCCTATTATTACTAAATTTACATCCATATACTATGTTTTAGTCCTATTAATTTTAAAACCTTTGGATTATAGAGCATCCCTCCAAAGTTCTAACTTTGTGTTGATACCGTTTCAGGTCTCATTAATCAAAACTATGTTATCTGCGAATAACATGCTCCACAGTACCTCATTCTGCAGGTGCCTAGTTAAGTCGTTCATAACTAAGACAAAGAGGTACGGGCTCAATGCTGACATTTGATGTAGACCTATTGTCATTGAAAACTCACTCGTCTCTCCACTAGTTGTTCGTACACAAGTAACCGCTTCATCATACATATCTCTCACCAAGTTGATGTAGTGTCTAGAGATGCCTTTCTTTTCCAACACCTGCCAAATCAAATCATAAGTATGAAGGTCTTTTCCCCTCGCCCTAAACTTCTCAATCAGTTGCCTAAGTATGAAAATAGCCTCAGTTGTTGACCTTCTTGGCATAAAGCTAAATTTATTTTCAGATATACTCATTTCATGCCTTAATCGTTGCTCAATGACTCTCTCCCAAAGATTCATAGTATGGCTCATAAGCTTGATCTCTTGATACTTTGCACAATTTTGTATTTCTCATTTGCTCTTGTAAATAGGTACTACAATACCTTTCCTCCATTCGTCTGACATTTTCATTGTTCTCAACACTTGGTTGAACAACTTTATCAACCAGTGAATGCCAATTTTCCCCATGCACTTACAAATCTCTATCGGGATATCATCTGGTCCTAAAGCCTTTCCTATCTTCATCCTTTTCAAAGCTTTTTTCACTTCCGACACCTTAATCCTATGAATGTATCTATGACCTCCGCCGTCACAAAAGCCAATGCTGAAGCTAATGTATTAGCTCAAGAACATGTTTGTTAGATTGCCCTCCAATTGGATTTGGAGCATTAGTCTTCATCCTACATTTTATTTTCTTTAGTGAATCCACCATGCGTGGGTTCAATCCCCGTCGTTCGCCCGACTTGTTCTATTTACGACGACGAAGAATGAAACTATCACTATATTTCTTCTTTTTCCTACTTCCAAGTGCGGGATAACCCCAAGGAGTCAAGAGTTGTCCCCTTATATTATTAATCCTCATTACCTAATACAAAAAGTGCTTCAGCACTCAATTCCGTTATCGAGCAACATCCCTCCAAGAAAAGTTGGTTAAAATGCTTAGTTCCAAGTTTAAAGTACTTCATGCCAATTCAATGCTAGACTTCACTCTTAATCCTTGACCACATGACAGGCTGTTGGGATCATTGTCTTTTTCTCTGAACCGCTGGACTAGGGACTACGAAGAAAAGATGAATTAATCTCAAGTACATGCGAATGAAAGGTGGTTAAGAAACATAGAATCGCTGCCTTTGGGGTGGGGGAACTCCTCTAAGAACTCATGATATTATTTGGTTTTGACGGTATTCGCCTATTCTCTAGATGGGTTACCATCTTCGCATCTTTTCAAGGCATGAGACTCGATTGCTCTCCATGTTAGCCCTGTCCACGTTGTTTATCGAGGATTCGTTATCACGAACCGCCTCTCCAATCCATCATTTTTTATGCAAGAAAGGTACAGCTTTATTTGACAACTAGGTTGTATGTAATCCCTAGATCCTTGTGTTGCTTCTATGAGAATGGGAAATGTCTAAACTAGTATTTACAACCTGGTTGGGCCTTTCTTGAGTAACAATGCAGGGCGGGCCAAGTTGAAATCGAATCTTTTGTTTGAAAAAAATTAATAAAACAAAGGGAAATGGGCAGGTACACTCCATGACCTTTGGCCCAGGCTTGGCCATGTCACCAGTCTATGTCTGGGCTAAGCCCTTGGTCCAGATAACTCTCCAAACCATCGATTTTCACTTGAGCAAGGTACATCATTTTTTGACAACTAGATGGTACTGCAAATCCTCACATCCTTCTGCTTCTTCTTGTGCAAATGGAATATGTCTAAACTAGTTTTACGACCCAGTTGGGCCTCTCGAGTAATAGTGCAAAGCTACACCTCGCTTCCATTTCCATTCAAGAGTTTATATTTTTTGTCCATGCCTTTTTTAGACCTTAAAAAATGGACTTAATCCGATCCTTAGGACCACGTTGAAGATTGATCACTTCATAGAGGCCAATTGGTAACCCCACTTCTAAAAAGGCCTACTACAGTCTACTTCTTTACCACATCATTTAAGGATGGCGTTTTTGCATATAGAGCTTCTGCCCTGTGGATAGCCTATATTTTTTGGTAGTTTGTACTTAACTCATTATTAAGTTAAGGTTAACATTCTCAAAAAAATTTGGTAACCCCACTCTTCACTACTAAAAATGGAGTATCTCGTTGGGAGCTTCACTGCTGTTGGCTACCAATTTTATCGTCTCGTAGTTCCGGTTGCAGGTCATTTTCATCGCCATGGGCATCACAGGCAAAGCATCCTGCTCCAGTTTTTTCTTCAAACCTTAAAATTTTATGGGCAGGAGGCCCTGAAGTAATAAGCCATGGTGTCTCTCATTATTTGGTCAGAACTCAAGTCATGGTACTGGAGTTCTCCTAATTGTTGGCTCTTTGCAAGCTCTGCTTCCGAGGAAGTGACCAAGGTTCATCGCTTTAGGCCTATATGATCATTTGATTCCCGAATCCTTTAAAGGGTGGGTTCATTTAATATTCTATTCTCAATCATGTCATTTGGCTTTCCTCTGGATTACTGCAACACACACATGAACTCTTGTATGCATGCGTACATGATGATCTGAGTCTCAATGCTTCTTATCTCGCATAAGATTGCCTACAGAATATGTAAAATATGGTGACATATATGAATGTTCATCATCATATTCTGCAAAATTTTAGTCAGTTAGTAGGGTCTTCTGACTTATTGAACTTCAAAGAATTTTGGAAAGTGTTGCATTTATTGATTTTTGTAATGATGACCTTATACTTCACACTTTCTACAGTAGATATTCTCGTGTTGATCATAGAATGTTGTGATTTTATTTGGTTCTTTAGGATGAATGCTCTTGTATGCTATGCATGTGTCCAACTATGTTTGCATGTGACATGTACATTTCATTCTGTCAGTTATAGGAAACAAAACTAGAAAGTGTCCATGTTCTCGACACATGCATCCAAGTAGCAACAGACTCCTAAATTCTTGTATCAGAAGAACATAGTGGAATCACACATTTTCCTTTGCGGGTATCTACATATTTTCAGTTTCCTTCTAAGATTCTTAGATAAGGAACACTGGGTTTTCAGCCTCTCTTGGTCGATGTTGAGCTCATCCAGATGTTTTCCCGGTTCGCCTGTTAGAGGTTTTTCTTGACTTGTAACATATATTTTTGGTTTGTGATAGGCTTATTGGAGTTTTGGATGGTCGCAGAAGAGTTATTGATTCGGTGTGTGGATGACATGATCATTTGCAGCTAGGAGTGCTATGCATACTTCCGAGCGTTGAGTCTCAATGATCCCTAGAAAAAATGTATGCACTTGGGATGTTTTCAATTTTTGATAGATTTTGTTGGAATTTATGGGATTCATGTTGCATTTTTAGTGTAATTTCTTGAATTCTACAGAAGATATTTTAAAGCTTATTTATGAAAGCCAAAAGCTTTTCCCACAGGGATAAAATCCCCATCTAGGATTAATGTGGACCCCAATTTTTGGGGATGTATCCTCTTCAACGCCATAGATTAACTTCTCTAAAAACAAAAACAAAAAAATCCTCATTGCACTATGCACTTGAAAAAAAATAATGTCTCGAGATTGAATAGGGAACTTCTAATTTCGAGAGGGTGAGATTTGTGTTTGAATACTCAAGTTTCAAATTTTTTCTTTGGAGAATAATCATCTTAGGCGGTTCTTGAATTTTCAAATTGAAAAAACCAGCATTGTCAAATTTGCTTCGCTTCGGCCGAAGTCTTTGGATTTTAGGTCTAGATCGAAGCGAAGCGAAGCCTGATGCTGCCGCTTTGGTCAAATTCGGGTTTGCTTTGGGCAGATGTGGCCAAAGCTTTGGCTTCTTCAGCCTAAGCAAAGAAATATCTATATAGAAGTATTTTTAAAATTTTATTTATTATTTTTAATTTTTAATTTTTTTTATATACAAATATGTAATTCATTTATATTGAATAAAAAAAGTCTGAAATCTTCCCCAAGCACCTAAGTACCTAATTGCTTTATTTTTAACTCCAAAACGAATTTCACAACATTGGAGAAAAGGTTCTTAGGTCTTCTGACTGCGGGAGTAGATGTATGCTGAAAGAAATTGGACGATGCTCTCTTTCTCTCCAAGGAGAGAGATCTGATGGCAATCGAGCCAACAAAAATAATCGAAGTCTGAAACTATGAATCGTCTATTAGATTGAAATTGGCTAATAATTAATTTAAGTGGTTTCTTTTTTATTTTATATCTGGTTTAATATTTGAAAGAGTGGATTTCTGAATTTATATGGATGTGGGGACTGTTGTGAGATGTTGACAAGAAGGTTGGTTGTATAGCTATGGTTGTCATGTTCTATTGGCCTCTGCCATTCTATGAAGCTCTTTCTTTTTGCGTATGACATGGCCGCATCTACAAATTCGGAACTTAATTTGAAAGCCATATTTCAGCCCGGATGTTTTATAGTCGAATTTGGTTTGTTTCCTATGCAAAATTTGGATTTATATGGACATTGGTAATTTTGATGGCCGGATGGCACGATTGTATTTCCTATTTCGGTTCCTCTTCATATTTTCATCTGAACAATGCTTATTTGAATGCATAAAATTTGAATTTTATTTTATATATGCTTGAGAATAAAGTAGTAGGAAAAACCACTATCCTTTTGAATTTTGTAAAGGCAATGGGAAGAATAAGAACCACAAGTCACTTTTTTTAGTGGAGCTATGTTTCAGTCTTTTTGTAACAGAGAGGAAGCATAGCAAAGCTTTAGGGTTCATCAAGAACAAAATGGATTTCTACCAACTCCAATGGATAACATAAATAGAAGGGTGTGGTTTCTATAAGGTTGTGGCAGTAAACAGTCAAAGTAAGGCGTACTGTCAAATAGTATCGAAAGATGTTTCAATTCTGAATAAATTCTAATTATAAAATTTAAAGGTTCTAAAATAGTGTAGATCAAGTAGATCTATCAACACTAGAAAATCTTGAAATTTGATGGTCCAAAAAATACATTATAATATGCATTATTTCCAAAACTTGAAATCCATCTTAAGGTTGACGATCGATGTGAGGATTTTTGGACATCGAAACTACTTCTTTTAACGAATTTTTGAGGTGTGCCTTAATTTGTACAAGGCTTAGCCCTTATATAAACTTTTTCCTAAATCTATAAACTTTTTCTCAATTCAAATGAATCTGTGCTTTGTGCTACTTTTTGTAATAATAACTTTCTTTTTTTCTTCCGATTTTGTGTCATGTCAAAGGGCATATGTAGCTTGTAGTGGCATATGGTCGATTCTATCATCATTTTTAGAGGACATTTTTGTATTTTGGCTGAGTATTTGACTAGTGTTTTTTAAGTTGTGTAGCCTTAGGCCTTATGGTGGATTACATGAGTGAATCTTGTAAGTACTTGGATATGTTTACACTCATGAAAATTGTGAAAAAATCGGATGCGATGGTCATGGTAAAATTAGGGTTGGCAACGGGTCGAGTCGGGGTCCTTCGGGACCTGGACCCAAAAAAACTATTATGGGACCCAAACTCGAAAATATAATGCGAGACCCGGATCCAGACCCAGACCCAACCGAAACCTATTGGATAGGACTAAAAAATTAAAACATCTATGTATTTAAACATATTCTAATGTATTTTCATAAATCTGGAATGTGGGACCTAGATCCTGACCCGAACCCGAATAGTGTTTGGGTCCAAATCGACCCCCCAGGTCCATTTTTTAGACTCATACCTGGACCCAGCTCAGGACCGGGTCCATTGCCACCCTAAAATACTTGCCCTTGGGCTGCCTGCCAAAAACAAAAAAAAAAAATTGGATAGGCCAATTTTCTAAAGAATAATGATCCTTTAAGACACTCCCACATGGGGTGTGTAAGACCCTAAATGATCACCATTAAATTTTGACACAGATCTCTAAAAAAATTATCACATGAGTGTAGGACTTGACTTTTCTAAAAATCTAGGCCAAATTTAATGCTGATCCTTTGAAATCCTACACATAGATGTAGTCATTTTTCTTTTTTAAAATAGGACAATTGTTTCATGCATGCTAGACCGTATTTCTACATTCGTAGTCCAGAAAGTGTAAAACATCAATTTCAAAGATGGATACAAGTAGGTGTTCCATCTAAAAACAATGGAAACTAGCGATCCAAATGTTTTTCTTCCTGAAATTATTATTTCTTGTTTTTAAAATTTACTTATTTTTCATATTCATAATCTCCACGTTAGAGATTATATGTCCTTAAAAATTAAGTACTAAAATCCATCTCAAAAATAGATTTATTAAAAAACCTGCATTTCTACTTGGACCGGGCCCTCTAAAATATATTATTTTCAAATAAAAAAAGCTTGTACTATTATAGATAGGCTATGGTACAAAAGAAAACGTGGGTTCCAAATAAATTAGTGAATAAATTACATGTAATTTAATAATCTACTTTTTATTTTTCAAAATCTGAACCGAACATTTCGTTTTACTTACAGTAGATGCCGGATGATTTTGAAGTCACGGTCACATAGAACAAATATCAATTTGTTGTCATGATGAAATCTTAATGAAGAGTTACAATCGGCTTATTTCCAAGTCGCCCAATTTCCAAATCATCAAATACATTCACATAAAGTTCATAGCATTGTTGTCAAATTCGCTTCACATTGCAAAGCTTTAGGATTTTAGGTCCAGACCGAAACGAAACCTGATGTTGTCTACTTCAGGCCGAAACACTGAATTGCTTCATTTTTCTCACCAAACCAAGAAAAACTCCAAAGCGAATCTAACAACATTGGTTCATGGACATCCTCGAATTCCCGAAAGATTATCAAACATAATCTGGTTGATTCCAAGTATTAAAATACCCGGCTTTTAGCGCATTAGTTTCAAGTTATCCCAATTTCTAGAGCATTAGTTTCAAGTTATCAAACAGGTTACTAGTCTATGGTGACATTGAAGATTATGAGAGCTTGAAATTTTGGTTTAGCTATAAAAAGATGGTTCTTGTCACTGATAGCATGAGATTCTGATATCCCCACTGTTTTAAAATCCGGCGATCCAGATCAAGAATCCGGATCTAGAAGATGAACTAGACACCAAGTGCCAAAGCATAACCCATGAACAAAAAGTCCACAAATTCATAAAATTGGGCGGATTTGGGAAAAACCAGGCGCCCCAAGTCTTAAGAGAGAGAAACTGCCCACATCCCCTTCCACGCCTCAATACACAGTTCACTCAATTATGTAACAACATAAAAATTAAAATAAACGAAAAGCGGGGAAATTAAAGCTCCCCCCACCAGTTATTAAACCATGCCAAGCTTTTGGTAGCTAAGCATAATTATAGTAGAGTTGTACATTCATTTTCTCTCTCTAAGATTTATACAAAGAAATACAATGCAGTTTTTGAGTACTGACCCATAAGTCATAGAACTCGGAGTTGTGCGAAGAAGGCAGCGCATAAATCCAGAAAAAGAAAGGGTGGGCCGTAAACCCTCTGGAGATCAAGGAGATATTTCTCTTCCCTGGTCTTGTAGAGCTGCAATTTGGGGAAACACCAAATAAATGTGTGTGTGAGAGAGAGAGAGAGAGAGAGAGAGAGATTTTCAAGCACAGTCAGCTTGATTGCTTTTTCCATTATTTAGGAGCATGTTTCACAGGTATATCATTCCTTTGGGGAGGGGGAGGGGGAGGGGGAGGGGGAGGGGGAGGGGGGAGAGAGAGACATTTGAACTTTTCAATCTTAATCAAACTGGAGGGGGGAGAGAGAGACATTTGAAATTTTCAATCTTAATCAAACTGGAGGGGGGAGAGAGATTTGAACTTTTCAATCTTAAACAAATTAGAGGGGGAAGAGAGAGCTTTGAACTTTTCAATCTTAATCAAACTGATTCTCTTTCCATATGTTATGAACATTTGTTTTGCAGTTGCCATTATTTCTAAGGGCTGAACTGAGAAAGAGAGAGAGAGAGAGATGAATTTTTCAATTTTTTTTTTTTTTTACAAGCATAAAAAAAAAATTGACAAGCTATGTTCAAATATTTCAAAATTAATAAAATGAATCCTCTGCCAGAAATATGTGCAGTTATCATTCCTAAGGACTAATATTGTATGCATGAGAAATGATATCATGTAACTATGCCATTATAATATAATGAAACCGCACTTCTAAAAAGCCATATTTGTGGTATTTGAATAACCCAAAATTTTGCACACACAATCTTTCATCTCAATAATTAATCTCAAAAAAAAAAAAACATTTGCACCCTATATATGGTCAAAATAAGCCCCCTCCAACAATGAATCTAAACCGTCCATTAGATGAATTTCAAGATCTAGGCCTTTATGAATTCAAAATATATATATTTTTAATGTTGTTAATCTAATGATAATAAAGTTATCTAAAAAAATTGGAAAAAAAATAAAAATCCTTCTAAAGCCTAAATCTAAATATCTCACCAAAATGAACGGCCTAAGTTAATTGGGATAAAAACACTTTCTAGGTTGTGTTTTCAATTTTTTTTTTTTTTTTTTTTTGTTGTGATTGTTCATTAGAATGAAAAGAGTGTATATTTTAAAATTGGGTGTGGTATATATAGAGCCGAGGCTCTAATAAATCAAAGAAAAGCACACTTTCAAATAGTGTCGAGAAATGTAGTTTAAATTCTGGAAATCTTTGTGATAGTCCTAAAATATATTTTCATTTTTTAATTATAAAATTTAAAACTTCAAAAATAAAAAATAGTGTAGATCGAGCTGCGGTTTATATAGAGCTGAGGCTCTAATCAATCAAAGAAAAGCACACTTTCAAATAGTGTTGAGAATGTAGTTTCAATACTGGAAATCTTTGTGATAGCCTTAAAATATATTTTCATCTTTAATTATAAAACTTAAAGCTTCAAAATAAAAAATAGTGTAGATCGAGCAAATCTATGGAAACTTGAAAATCTTGAAAATTGACGGTCCAAAAATGTGTTACAAGATGCACTATTTTCAAAACTTGAAATCCATTTTTTTCTCATTTCCATGCATCTTGATGTTGAGATGACCAATTTGAGGATATTTGGGTATCAAACAACCTCTTTTGAGTGAAATTTTTGAGGTGGGCTCTAATTTGATTGTTTAGAGCTTCGGCTCTATATAAATTTTTTCCTTTAAAATTTGGGTCAAACAAATGGACCTAACATAGGTTTTGAAGATCATTTCATTATATTAATATACAACTATAGTGTGAAATCACTCCCCTAGTGGTGGGTTGGGGGGGAGGGGGAGAGAGAGAGATTACCTGAAGCTCAAACTTGAGCACATTGGGTGATCCAACTGCGACACCATCATTTTCAATAATGGCTGGTTCATCTCCAAAGATGTGGTTAGAGTCAAGGGAGTTCTCAATACCATTTTCAGGCTGACCTGGTAACCATCTACATTTCATGTTGTAGTGGCCTATCTTCTTCCAAGCCACATTCAACTCTTGGAGAGCTTTCAGGACCTCAGTCATTATCTCTTTGGGCTGAGCCCGAGACTGTAAAGTTACCCAACGGATCAGAAACAACTGCCTTTTCAGTGATAGTTATCTATCTAGAATGGTCGTATTTCTCAAAGTAATCAATCATAAATGTAATCGAAACCAAGAATTCAATCAACCATAAACGCAAGGTCTTTTGCAAAACTCAAATAGCAAAAGATTGACATTAAGATAGTTAAAAACCAGTTTTAAAATAGTTATGAATTCAGTGATTTATGTCTCTAGAATGGCAACAACTTAAAGACCACCTCCACCAATTCGATCATCTTTCTAGAATGGAATTAAGCCCACTGCATATCTAAAATTGCATTCTTTCAGAGTAATCAATGGGTCAGAAACTGCGATCAATTGTTTCTTTAAACCTCTGGAAGGCACCCAGTCATTCTCTCTGAAAGGCATTTTTTACCGTGTAACAAAAGAAGCCCAAAAGGTTGTGTATAATTCCAACTCTCAAATGGTAAACAATAAAATTAAAGATATCCAAAGAAGTAGAAAGAGCTGAAACACATAGATGACCTGAAGTCCAAGAGCCCACTTCCTTTCGGTTGGGTGTTGTGGCCTAGAACCAATACCTTGATGGTCCATATATCCAGGCAACCGGTGGCCTGCAGTGGAAGGAGCAGGATCACCCGGATGCATACGAGTAAAACCACATTCCTGAACAACCATAATTAAAAGGCACAAAAATTAATTCTCAAAAAAGAAAACTCCAAGCAAAATTAAATATAGATGATGGACAAGAAAGGAAACACATAAAATACATGTAGATATGAATGTAAGAAACGGCATTTTTTCCCAGGTGAGAGAAACCGAAAGGAAGGGAAATCTAAGTTTCTTACAAGTCATAACCAATAAAAATTGATGGTGAACAAATTATATTTCTACATATATCTTTGGACGCTCCGAAATGTGAATGCTTAAGATGTTTGAAAGGAAATATTTAAACAAACATTAGAATCCAAATAGAAACCAGAGGACATCACATTTAGGGCCAAATTCGCATGTGCACACCATATCAAAAACATAGGCTTTATATTATACTGGGCACTTAACAATTTCAGAGGTTTAATCCCCTGTAACAATTTACACGGGCTAAATAAAAGGAAAAATGAGCCGAATACCTTTGATTATGGCCTTGAAACCTATACATTCGTTTCTAAGGAAGAAAATATACAAACATATCAAATGAAAAAGATAACATCAAGGGCATATTGGCCCATATACTTGTGGATGTATGCAAGGATATTATCCTTCAAGTCTAGTCTTTCTAAGAAAACATGACTCAAGTGGATCATAGAAGATGATTATCTCACTCTCTTTTCCCACTCTTTAATTCTTATTGAAGTAAAACCCCACAAGAATGCTTATCTCTATTAGACTGTGTCTATCGAAAATATGCGACCCCCTCTTCAATCAAGAGATTCCCTTTTTATACTATTATAGTTTTTCAAGGGATAACCAAGTAATTTCCCATCTTTGAATCTTCACCCTTCATCTTCATCTTGGGCTTTATCCCCTCATTTGAATCACAGAATCTTCAAGGCGTAATTCTTATCTTCATAACGTCGATACCTTTCATGTTTATCTTTTCATGTTGCTAATCTTACTGTTTGGGTTGTTCATGCAGGTATCTCTTGATGATGATCATTGATACTCATCTTGAATTTCAAACATTTGAACCTCATGATCTTGCGGGAGCAAAATCAGGAATCTGTCATTGTTGTCAATAGATTGCAACCACTTCAATTGTTCAACTTAATCCATGCCACACCTTTTATGGGTGGTAAAGCAATGAGTCAAGAATCTAACGGCTTTGCTTTCATGAGAAACCCGAAACCCCCCTCGTATCGAGGAAGAAATCCCCATTTTGGTAACCGAATGTCGCACAGTCCATAAAGCTTTTAAGGCCTTAACTGTAGAGCGATGAGGATGATGGGTTAAGCCATCTTCGGGAAGCTTTAAACTGTCGATATATGATGATGATGGGTTAAGCCATCTTTAAGCAGCTTTAAACTGTCGATTGATATGATGATGGGTTAAGCCATCACTGGGCAGCTTTAAACTACCAAGATATGAGGATGTTGGGTTAAGTCATCTCCGAGCAGCTTTAAACTGTTGAGATATGAGGATGATGGGTTAATCCATCTCCGAGTAGCTTTAAACTGCAAATTGATATGATATGGGTTAAGTCATCACTTGGCAGCTTTAAACTATCGAGATATGAGGATGATGGGTTAAGCCATCTTCAAGCAGCTTTAAACTGCCGAGATATGAAACTTCAAGGAGGAGGGTTGTAATGCCTCAAACATGGATCCTTGAGAGTTTCGGCTTAATTTCATAACACAAAGCTCTGGGGTGTCAATCAAGGCATATCTCATCTGACGGTGGATACGGATACAGGTTAAGCCAAGTCCCAATATCGCCCAAGTTATGTCATTTGAGGCATATAAGACCTCAACAAAATATCTTTGAGGGACATATGTGAACAGGTGTCACCAAGAACCATGCTCATATTGTTTGTTAAAGCATCTATCCAGCGTGTGTTACCGACTCCGCTCCATACTTAACATCTTCAATCAAGCGTTCGTTTAGAACGCACTTAGTCTTTGTATGGGGACTGATAATGACTTCTCAATCATTCGCGCCCCAATCTCCATTGGTTGTTCATTGGAATGTATCTAGTTTGTATAAGACTATAAGTACACCCAACACTCTTTTCCCCCCTTTTTCCCAGTTTTTACTTTTTTCAGTTATCCTCTTTGCTCCCTCCCTCCATTTTCAACCATTTCCTTCAATTTCACCCATTTTCATTATAACCCATTTTCATTATACTGAATACATTATTTCGGTATATATAATTCTTACACATTCATTTTTATCCTTCAAACTAATTCATGTGTCATAAATATTTTATCCACTCCTACTGTAAAGAGAGAAAGCAAGCAAGAAAATCAGAGAATCCTTGAGAAAACAGAGAAAGAATGATGATCCTGGTGATTAATGTTTAAATCCTGGTCAAGATTGTCCATCCATGCAGAGATATGCAACAAGGAATAGATAAGGGATATGATATTATCACAAAGTAAAAACTCTCCATGGTAACTTGCTGATTGTCTAAAAAGAAAATAAGTTATCTTAAAATTAACTCACCATAACTTCCTGAAATTCAGCTCCCAGGTAGCCACTGGAAATTCGAAAACGATTGTCCAAAAGTAAAAAATAAGCAACAGTTGCCTGGCAAAAGAGGTCGAGAACACTAAGAGATCAGAAAGTCAAGCGCCAAATACAAAACTAAGAAACATCATGTCTAAGACTACCTCATTCTGTGCTCTGCTCCGGAGAGATTCAATTAGTTGGTTCCGGTCAAACCCCATTTTAACAACCTCTTGAAGGATATCCTCATCAATCTGAAAATTAAAAGATGTATAGAAGGGTTAGGAGCTGTGGAAAGAAGGAAAATTCACCACAACAATATTGAGGTTGTAGTCATGTACACAAAAACAAAAGGGAAAGCATAACATTATCCAACAGACTCTGGTTTTGTGTAGTCCAATGAACTATACTTATCCAAAATGCAATTCTAACACAACCGCTGGATCATCTGGGACATCAAATGGCAATATTACAAGGAGCCATGCGATGTCAGTATAATAATGACTCGTACCCTAATATGCTAAGGTTTCAACTTTCAAGTAATCCTTAAGTTGGTCACCTTGATTTAGGGTTATGAGCATAATCAAATTTTTTCTCCAGCTTACAAATAGGTTAGTACTCGCTCATTCACCTCAAACTTCATTCAGTTCCTGTGTATTTTACATAACCATCATCAAATAACTTTACTTTTTAGTTTGACTCCGTATGGGACTCATTTCTCTAATGTTATTTATAAAAGGGTGTGGTTTGTAAAAGCTTGCCACCTTAAACAATCCAATTAAGGCGCACCTCCAAATTTTAGCATAACATGTAATTTTCGTGTAAAAAATTCTTCCGAATATCTGAAAATATATTTTCATCTCTAATTATAAAATCTTAAACTCCAAAAATGGTTAAAATCAAGTAGATTTATTAATATATGAAAATCTTGAAAAGGGATGGTCTAGATAATCTGTTGCAAGATGCACTATATCTGTGACTCAAATTCTTTTTTTTATATATATATTCATGCATCTCGATGTCAAGATGATCAATTAGAAGGTTTTTCAACATTAAAATAACATTTTCTGGTACATTTTTGAGGTGCATCTTTAATTCTACATTTTAAGGTTGCAACTTTAAATAAACTTTTTCCTTTATAAAATAACTTGCAAAATGATGTTGTTGTCTCAAAAAATCCCTATTTAGCATCTAGCGAGATCCAATTAAAGAGAAAACCAATGGCAGATAGGTCCTCGAGAATAACTTTCTCAATAGAGACATCCACAAAAAGTTTACACAATACTGAGAGGATACCTCCAATGTTCTGCAAAACTTCCTCTAGGAGCCTTACAACTCACAATAGAATAAATCCTGTTACTAGGTCCTAGTTCCTCGCTCTCTTGAACTCCACCAAATCGCCGCCCAAAAGGTAATATGCTTATTTTGATTTCCTGTCTTGCCTTTTGCACTGCCACGCCTGTATTTTATTCATAGTTTCAAAAAGCGCTAGGCGGGTCCTAGACGGCCTGGGGGGTCCAAGCTGCCCAACACCTAGCCTAGAACCTGGGCGGCCCAGTTGAATCTAAAAAGGCTACAGTTATATATTGTATAAAATATAAGAATTAGGTATTTAGGGCACATCAAAATTCAAAGTATACTACACATTAGCACACACTCCGTAAGCATAACCATAAGTCGGTCCATATCCAATTCAAACTTAAAATTTACCAACCAAATTACCAAACCAAAGTTACCAAATACCAAACTAATGGAACTACAAATCCACTATGTACAAGACTACAATAACACTACGAAGAGGAAGAAAACAAAAATGAAAGTAATACTTGAAAACTTAAAAGAATCTTCAATAGTTCAATCAATATTCAAAGTTTAATCATTATTCAACATCTCAAAGAAAATGTAGCCATATTCCAACCAGAATCACCACTCCTATTAGATCCCGAAGAAGACATCTCAAAATAATATAACGTATACAAGCAATAAAAAAAATCACTTACTTTGATTGCTCAATCTCCTAACTTCCACCTTATAGATGCTTCTAAGGAATCAAAATCTTCTAAAGAAAAACCCCAATAGATTTATAAAACATCAAAAATTAAATCTAATACCAATGGGTGATGTTTTGATCAATTTCTCATAACTTTGAGAAACCCTTCGATCTTAAAAAAATCACCAAAAACTAGTTTTTTGGGGGCTCTCTCTCTCTAAAATGGACTCTAATGAGTTTTAGATTTCAAATGAACCTAAAACCCTCATTTTTGGCCCCTTGGAATAAAAAAAATTGGACAAAAATAGCCCCCACCGAAACCTTTTTCCACCTCTGGGCAGTGCGCTATACCTAGGCGGCCACCTAGGTGGTTTCATGGGCGCCTACCTAGGCGCCCAGGAACCTCTGCTTTTGTTGGGCGCCTAGGCCTGGGCGATGTGCCCAGGTCCCCCAAATCTGCCTCGACGGCCGCCCAGGCGCTGGGCGGCCCGCTTTTTGAAACACTGATTTTGTTACTTCTTATTGCATAACCCAATAAGTCACTAGAGGGAGGCTCTGCTCATGAATAATCAATGCCAGGAGCTGCTGCAGTTAGGAAGACTAGTTCTCAAAAGCCCAAAGCTAAAACCCCTCTGCAAACTCATAAGGCATCAACCCAGAGTTTTCCTTCTAACAATAAATGCCGGTTTAGTTTTTAATCCACATGGAAGCTTTCATTTTAGCATAATTTTTTTCCTTGGAACTAAGTATGACCCGTGTTGGAGACAATTCTAACCATAACACACAATTGATTTGATTTAAATTCCTGGTCATGTGGGAGGATTTTATGCAAAAATGCCTAAGAGCAAACATTTAACTGGTAACACAGTGAAATCTAGCTGAGATGGCAAGACTGATTAAAGTTTTAGAAAGATAATCAATTTCCCCTAATTAGTAAAATAATCATAAAAAGACCCTCAAGAGTGGAAAAATTCAATCCTGCCTTTTTAGCCTGTTGCTGTGTGTCAGGTGGAGGCACAGCCAAATAGCGGGGCAAATGAGCTTGGAACCAAGGATGCTGTCTGATCTCAGGTATTGTCATCCGTTTCATTGGGTCAACTACGAGCATTCTTGGAATCAGGTCCCGTGCTAAGGGTGACAAATGACTTGGAAGAGTATATATCCCACCCTAAAGGACAAGAATAGAGAACAGCAATTTAGCAACTGATCCATTTTGTACATGGAGATATACCAGATAATAACAAGCTAACAACATTTACAAAGTAAATAAGAAGGGAAAGTATAGAGTATAGTTGATGGACTATGGAAATTGAGGTCCAATGGGCTCCTAAACCTCCAACAAAATGATGGATGATGATGCCAGAGAGTGGGACTCACAATTGAGGGCCATGTCCTTTTTTGGTTGTGTCCCACTCTCTCTCTCTCCATCACCATGATTGCACTTTGAATTGTCATGATCCCAATGGACTGTTTCCTCCTGGTCCATTGGACAGTAATTTACTAAGCCAAATATGTGCCTGTGTGTACGTACATACTAATCCAAATAAGAAAACCATTCAAATAGGAACATGGTGCATACCTTAATCTTCTTGAATAAAGTTGGGATATTTTCATCATCAAATGGAAGAGTCCCACAAAGAAGGGCATACAAAATAACCCCACAGCTCCAAACATCAACTTCAGGACCAGCATATAATTTACCCGAGATAACCTGTACAAGAGGAAAATAAAGTTGACCTGAACTGAGAAACAGATTGAAATGTGGCATCTACTTCGAATATAGGATGGTATGCCCTACACAGTGTTGCATGTAGTTTCCAAACAGTAAAATACATGTCACCTCAACTGTCCATTGTTGAGATGAATGTTCCTCCACCAAAGGGAGCACAGAGTGGATAACCAATTTGTATCAACCATCTGTAGTCAACAACAGATGGTTAAGGTGTATGGCAGTGTGTCAAATTAAATGCATCAGGGCATGTTTTAGTGTGCCGAATTAAATGCATCAGGGCATGTTTTGTCCTTAAAATACACCAGTCTGCACAATTTGCAGTAGACAAAATGGATGCTTCCTGGTGAGACATACTGGTCCTTGTGGATTTCACCATTTGACATTTGGGATATTCGAGTTATATGATACAGGGTACTCAAAAATGGCTCATCCACCATCTATTACCAATGAAGAGACGTGAAGATTAACCATGGGAGGGCCCAATAGGGGCAGTTACACAGTTACAGTAGTCTAAATTGTCACTGTCTGTATTGGATAGGGAATACCCTTTTCAATCATCGTACCATCCTCAATTCTATTACAGTATACCAACCCTTCATTTTTTTCAATTTTTAACAAAGGTGAGTCCCATCCATCTTCCCCATTATCTTTTCAGTTATTATAATTATCTGCTCTACTTTTTTATATATTAATAGTAAACGAGCATTCAATAAGGATCTCTAATATTTTAGTAGCCATCCATAACCCATACCTCTGGAGCAGCATAGTTTGGGCTTCCACAGCTTGTTTTCAGAAAATGCCCATCACGCATCACATTGCTCAGGCCAAAATCTGCAATCTTTACATTCCACTTAGAATCCAAGAGCAGATTCTCTGGCTTAAGATCCCGATGAACTATCATATTCCTATGGCAGTATTCCACACCTGAAATAATCTGTCTCCAAGCAAACATATTTTGCATTAAAATCTTTAAAAAGAAACAGGAAAAAAACAAAAAAAGTAAATACAATGTATATCCTTAAGAAAAATACATTAGCAGAATATCATATCAGTCCAATGCTTAGTCCTTGACAAAGAAAGTTGGTAAGGTACCTGCTGAAAGAAACCCCGAGCCTCCTCCTCCTGGAGTCTACCCTTCTCCACAATAAAATCAAATAGCTCCCCGCACTTCACATACTCCATAACAACATATATATCAGATGTTGTTTCTATAACCTCATAGAGTCGGATAATGTGGGGATGCATGAATAATCTCAATATTTTTATTTCTCGTCTCACTGCAAGAGCACTTTAAAGTATCAAGAAAGACACTGCTTAAAAGGCTCTATAACAATCATAGTAGAAAGCCAAAATCAATACAGTACCAGAAGCACATGCTCGTTTGAGTAAATACATCAAATTTTCTGAATATTGAAAAAGTGAGTGTGACACCATATTTCCGCTTTCAGATAAAGTTGGTCTCAGTCAAATACTGGATAAGGCCCTTCTAGCACAAATTACTCTCATACCCTTTTTATTCTGATGTCTGGAAAATTGGACAACAGTCGGAAGAAAGTAATGCCAACTCTTTCCTTTTGCATTAGTAAATTAACTAGTAAAAAATGTAGATTGATTCCTTCTTAAATGAATGCCCTCCATGCCCATTTTCCTATAAAACAAAAAATGAATTCAATATACTCCTAACATAGATCAAGTTCGTCCTAAATTTTGAAAACCCGACCAAAATACACACTAACAAAAGAAATTAGTAGAATATAGTCAATGGCACTAAGAAAAAGAAGGCATAACAGGCAAAACATTGGAAATAGGCATTTAATTACTATCCAGAAACTCCAATGTTTTATTTTCAAATTGGCACATCAATCACTGCCATGCTGCTTATTTTTTTTTGGGAAATTTTATCAAATCACACCTGAGAGATCAACTTTTTAAGATTTCACCCATCCAACAATTTCCAACAATTTATGACCTATAATGATGTCTCCTAGAATAAGCTACTTAAAATTTGATCAAAAGAATGATGGGCGTGCAACAGAGGCCATTGTGGGGCCCGTTAATAAAAAAGCATTTCAAAAAAAAATATTGGGCTATATGAGATCAGATCAAAACAACCAAATATGTTAAATAGTTCTCTTAGGGGCGAAATCATAAATTTCCTAGAATTTTTCCTGGTAAAAACTGACAATGAATTGGAGAAATTCAAAATAAGTACAAAAAATGAGAGGTATCTGTTAGGATAAAATTTTGAGTGTATTTTAGAGATGGCCAACCTTTGATTGATGCTAACTTCCATGATAAACCACTGCATTGAGTGGGGTAAATAGGGAAAGAAATAATACTGACAACACACTTAGTATTATAGTGTACACACCCATGATTTCTCATGTCTTCTGAAATTACTCAACTATGTTTTATTTTAAAATGTCACAAACAAATACCATTAAAATGTCACAAACAAATACCACGCATTCTACTTATAATTGTTTCAATATATATTTGACCGTATAAAACACAATTTGGGAATTGTTGCCTTTTAGAGTATTTATAATCATCATTCTGTTCATTGTCACCATACCAACTCGATTCTCAGACGTGATAGAAAGCATGAAGGTGATCCTACCAACACATCAACAAGGACCGGTGGTGTGAGTTAGTTCAGCGGAAAGCTAAAAAAGGGCAAGGAGTAGGCCCAAAAGGACATGGTTGGAAGTTGTGAGAAAATATATGGGGATTTGTGTGGAGACCAGAATTCGTGTAGCCGACCCCAATTAGTTGGGAAAAGGCTCTGATGATGATGATGATTATGTTCTTTGTCAGAGTATTTATTTCTTAAGTCAATGTTTGTATCATTTATTTGATGAACAAAGAAATTTTGCTAGAATAGAATAGAATATAAGCAAGACCCTAGGGCAGACTAATGTACAAATGTGAAAGACCAAAAATAAGTAGAAGAGACAAAGAGAAAAGGGATAGAGAACGGAAGAATCGAGAGAGGAGGGGGTGGGGGGGGGGAGAGGAAGAGAGAAAGAGAACGAAGAAGAAGGGGGGAAGATCTCAAGGTGACGTCCCAACCCCAGGGACAGATCTAGAAGCTACAATACAAAAACTCTGGTCGCACCCTTGCCCACCCTTTCATTGATAATACATCAGCCTTCCTGTGAAATAACATCATAGTCCCCCATGAAATGACATCAACCTCCTCATTAAACCGCCAAGGGAGAGGCAAAATATCTCGCTTGTTGCTACTACTAAAGGCCTGTGAAAGAACATCATAGTCCCCCATGAAATGACATCAACCTCCTCATTTGTCCCCCAGGGGAGACGGAAGATATCTCGTTACCACTACAAATGTCAAAGATCACCATGAAAAACATCAAGTAGATCCACAAAGCCAATCCCTCCTTCGAGGCCCATCAAAAGACGTTAAAACAGCCTCCCTCATAGCCTAATTGAAACCCTATCTCAAAATGACACAAATGCATGCCTTTCAAAAACTCTCGTCGCCAATTCTGTCAAATCACAATGCCTTTCAAACACTCTCGTCGCCAATTCTGTCAAATCACAATGCCTTTCAAAAACTCTCGTCGCCAATTCTGTCAAATCACAATGGTTCAACTCAGGAAAACTCATTGAGTCAACTCGATTCGCCCACTTCCTCAAATTTATAAATGAAAAACTCAGAGAGCCCGAGGTTTTTGTTACATATAATTATCTGTTTCATTCGAATAGCAGTTCCCAATGTAGTAGCGCTGTTATGTCCCTTGGCGACAAGCTGGGTTTAGGAATTTATTATGGACATAGTTTTTCTCCGAATTCTTCAAAAGAATTTGATAAATTCACCCAATTCTTTCAGAGTTTATTTAACTCGGCGAGTTAACCAGATTTGGCATTTGATTCTATCACCAAGTTCAAGTTTCTAAATGCTGGTTCTAACTTTAATGCCATCCATATTCCAAAAAACTATCTCTATTCCAGATGGGGGCAGATTGCCCCAGGAAGAATCATCAAAGTTCAACTTTATCACACCACAATTAGGGAGATACCAGCCTACCAAAGGCAATACCATGTCCCATCAGCTAAAAAAATCCATCAATCCACAACATGTGAACTCAGGCTGTCACCACAAAAGTAATACAGGTGTCCTGAATCCCTTCTCTGAGAGTGGAAACCAAGATCCCACTAACCCTAAAAGTGTGATTGTTGCATTCCTTCCACATAGCAAGAGTGCAAGACTACAAAGCTACTACACATCAGCTTGCCCTTCGATGGTAACGACAAGGAAAATCACACCCAAAGAAATCCCTTCACGACACAGCATGACCCACTCCAGCCTTAAAGAGGCTGAACATACAGGGCAAACATTTGTCACTACCTTACAATGAGTTAATAGGTTTCACATTGACTCTGACGTCAATGTTCACATGTACAAAAAGAATTTTTCTTTTGCATATTATATGTTTGTTTTATGCTTTTTTATTCCTCTTTAAATTAATAAAATGTGGCTTTTATTCTTATTCACTATGTTTATTGGCTAAGTCATGTAGTTTTAATATTGAATTATTTTGGTCTCGCTCTCTCTCAAAAGCTCAAATATCACATTGGTTGAATACTAGTTTGCATGTGTTCATGCTTGAATATACATACATAGGGACATGCATGCATGTAGACGTACAAACAAATAAAAAAGTAACAAACACATATGCACGCAGGGGTATACATGCAAAAATGCATGTAATTCATCCAAATTTAAAATAATAACGGATAATAAAAATGTACAAGTGCCTATATGCATCAATTGCATGGTTCAATCCTATTATTCTTTTACTGTCATTTCAATCTTATTATTCTTTTACTGTCACTTCAATCTTATTATTACAAACTGCACAATGAGACAAATGCAATAACGACAAGCCCACCAGAAAACCTGTCAATATCCTTACCTTACAAAGTATGCCTGTACTCTATGGAGCAATGACACAAATAACACTAAGTAATTTAAACATGGGCATCAATATTCATTGTTTCACCAGTCCTCGAGTCAGCCACCATGGTCAATCTCAGGTTTATTACTACAAAATCAAAATTTCCAAACCTAACAAATACATACAATTTCCTAAGTTTAGTTCACGAATCTAGTCCAGCTGGAACCACTAAAACATGCCATACCTTTGTCTTCCATTTCCATGCTCCTTATCTTCCTTCGGTTCAGGATCTTGATAGCAACTTTATGCCCTGTTAGAACATGCTCCGCAATTTTGACTTTACCAAATGATCCAATGCCAAGTGTCTTCCCAAGCCTATAGTTGGGTAAAATTGTTTCAACGCTGCTTCCCCCCCTTGGTCCATCCATTTTCCTACTAAGAAACATTAAGAAATGTTTAAACAACTATTTACATTGAAAGAAGTTGGTAGTAATAAACAGAGAATATGAAAAGCAGATTCGAGAGAGCATTAACAAATGCATGTAAATGATGCCATAACAAATAAATATACATCCAAGTCAGAACATACACTTGAAGATGTGGTACACACACACATCATAATGAGTGTAAATGCACATGTGCTCATGTATGAGCGTGTTGTGGGCAGTGGGGTGGGCATTCAGTTCAAGCCACTTGCCAGAGAGATATACTGCTTTTAGTGATGAAAAATCACCGCCAGCGGGTAAATTATCACTTTGCCAAGCTGTACCGTGTCTAAACATGGGAGGGAGGACGAGACACCAAAATTTGTATTAGGGATATCTTAAAACTCAAGCCCTTTTGCTTTGCCTAAGAAAAATTTCCCCACATTGGAGAAAGACGGCTAAGGAATGATAACTTTTTACAGCGTTAAAAGGAGCCTCCATTAAAGTCATGATCTTTCCCACATCAATTTGTGCATAAGGGAACAAAACATCCCTGATCCAAAGATTTGTGTAAGCAACTAAACATGGACAGTCAGTACAGAAATAAACTTTTCTTTCATGGGGGGTGCAACAAAATAAAACAACGGCATCTTTGAAAATTTTTAATAAATAAAACAACCAACTAAGCCAGTTACTTGCAGAGTAGGACATTGCCTCCAGAATGTCGGGGACTCTGAGTATGAGATATATATACTAGACTCTGATCCAAAGATTTGTGTAAGCAACTAAACATGGACAGTCAGTACACAAATATACTTTTCTTTCATGGGGGGTGCAACAAAATAAAACAACCGCATCTTTGAAAATATTTAATAAATAAAACAACCCACTAAGCCAGTTACTTGCAGAGTAGGACATTGCCTCCAAAATGTCGGGGAATCTGAGTATGAGATATGTATACTAGACTTGAATATCGATAATGAGATAATCATAGCTTAACCGCCTGCTCATACCCAATAAAGAACAATATGCTTATGTGCAAAAATCGGTCCTTACAGTGCCATCAATTAGAAATTGTAATTAGAACATACAGCTTACAGGAATGCCTACTTCTACTTTTACAGGATATAAGATTGGTAAGATGTCTAAGTGAAACTCTTCCTTTGTGACCCTTGTCGACCAAAAAATGTGTATGAAGGCGATGAGATGATATAGGGAAGGTAGGTAGAAGTCACCCCACCACACACTCATTGAAATGCGTACCTCTCTAAGAGGAATCTAAATCTGTTGCATAACAGTCATAAAACAATATTGCCAGAGGTATGCATAGATGAACTCATAATGGCAAGTTCTTAGCAGTGCAGTTCTAGCTTCTATATTTCTTTTTTATTGGATAAAGAGCTAAATAAATTCTAGATAATAAATTTTTAATACATAAAAATACTAATCCACAAGTGGCAACACTCCTTCATAGCGCTTAACATATGAAAACATAACCCAAGGTTCTATCTATTATTGCTAATCATCAGAAGTTATCAAAGAAATTTACCGTTCTCTTTTTATCCAAAATTTTATTTATTTTTATTTTTATTTTTTTACGTTTTTGGTTTCAGAGTTATCAAAATAAAAATCTCATACAGCCAAGTTTGAATTTCATATTTTATAACTCAAAGACTCAATAGTAGGGGGCAAACACTCTTTTGCAATCATCAAAACAAGTTACACAATTAAATATGTTTTATAAATAATTTCCTGCTCAAATGTGTGCACAATGATTTGTATCAAAAGGTACAACGACAGCAAGATGCATGCATCATTTTTTAATGAAAAAGCATAGAACAAAGCAGACTCGGCAAATAGCTAAAGTACCAATATAAAAAATAATAAGGAAAAACAGACATAACGAAGAGCAAACTAAAGAGAAATCATGTGAAGAGAATGAATCAGCAATAGAGATAATGGACACCCAAGAAAGATTAATTCTGACCAAACTAGTAATCCAAATTCAGGTTTCAAGTGTCATGTATATTTCTCTTGGATCGCATATAGTGCACAGACACCATTACAACCAATTATCACCAAAAGGAAAGCAATATTTAAACAAAATTTAAATAATACTCACATGGTAATCCATGCAATGAACCACAATCAATTGAATCTATCAAAATAATCACACATTACCAACTTAACAAACTACAATAAACTAGACTGAAACCAGACAACACAAAATGCAGAGAAATTGAAAACATGAAATAAAATCAATATCCATGCATGTCAAAAATGGTGATTCAGCTGCTCAAACTTATGGGAAATAAGTGATAAAAAAAAAGAGCAACAGGATTTTTAGAGATTTGAGGGCAAATCAAGGATAATGGATTTTATTGAACCAAACAATACAAAAAATAAGCCTTGCCAATAAAAATCAATAATTCAAAATTCAATCTAAGAAGTATTAAAAAGTAAAGCAGACTATCCCAAAAACTCAACAAATTTAAAGAAATAATCGGAACAAACCTAATAAAATCCTCAAATTTTCAGGATAGAAAAGAAGACCCTAACTCCCTATTCCATAACCAAACAAATGAAATAGAAGAAAAGCAACAAGCAAATGGGAACCTAACAGATGGGATAATAAAAAGCCCTAGAATCACAGCGAAGGCGGAAAACCCTAGAATTGTGCAGGGGACATGGAATGCGTACCTGTTCTTGCAGCAGTGGTCTGGAACCGTAGCCCGTTGTTCAGCTGGAAAATATAATCAACGAAGAGAGAGAGAGTTCCTGGGCCCTCAACGGTCCCTTTCTTGATGAACGGTGATGACTACCTTTATATTATTTGAATACAACTTAGAGAGCGAAAGTTTATTCCATTTATTTGAGGAGGAGAGAGGGAGATTATTTAATTATTTAATATTAATTTATTTAGATTATTTAATTGTGTAATATTCTTTTATATAACTTTTAAACGGCCACATTGGAAATGCTGATGATGAAAGGGGAGCAGGAAAAAAAAAGTGGGCACTGAAGGCTACGTTTTGATGCAGTTTGTATGAATAGTCATGTGTCCATTGTGCTTCATAGTCGTGTATTCGATATAGTGCTCCTGTTTATTTTTAATTGAAAAGGCCTTGGTTTATGAGAGAATTCCGATGATGTCCTTCGAAAAATGACCCTTGCAAATGTTTTTGGGGCTTAGCAAATACAAGCTATAGAGATAGGCTTTCTCCACAAAAAAAAAATAGCCATTGATATCATAACTCCAATTAAACAAATTCTCTCTCTCTCTCTCTCAATTGGGTGATAAAAGATCTCTCTCTCTCTAAATTGGATGATAGATAGGGGTGGCAACGGATCGAATCTAGCTATATTTGGACCCGAATAGTATTCGGGTCAAGGTTTTGGACCAAGACCCGATCCATCGGGTCCAAAAATTGGACCTATACCTAAACGTGTTGTGTCTTGAGTCGACCCGTTGGATCCCTGATCTAGTCAAGTACATTGCCACTTTATGACTATGAGCTTCCTACCTCTTTTTTCACCATTTTTTTATCATCATATGCCCATATTTTTGGCAACAATGTCACAATCACTTGCTATTGGATTCAAGCAGCCTGATTTATCGTTTAATAGCTAAAAATGATTGCGAGTTCTTATTATATACAATTGTTAATGGGTATGGTTTCTATAAGGTTGCAACATTAAACAATCTGATTAAGACGCACTTCCAAATTTTATTATGACATGCAATTTTGATGTTTTTTTTTTTTGGATTATAGAAAAATATATTTTTATATCTAATTATAAAATTTAAAACTCTAAAATTTGTTAAAATCAAGTAGATCTATAAACATACGGAAAGCTTGAAAATTGACGCTCTAGAATCTAGATAATGTGTTGCAAGATGCACTATTTTTGGGACTCAAAATCTTTTTCTTTTTCCTTTTTTTCCTTTTCATATTCATATATCTCGATGTCAAGATTATCAATTAGAAGATTTTTCATCATTCAAACAACATTCTCCGATCGATTTTTTAGGTACATATGTAATTCTACATTTTAAGGTTGCAACATTATATAAACTTTTATCATCTTTAATATACTTAAACGAATAGAATTTAAAGTAAAGTATTTTATCTCCAACAGTTTAAGAGTAAGGGTCAGGTCCTGCTGGATCCAAACCCAAACTCGAATGGTGTTTGTGTCAAGATTTTGAACCCGAACTTGACCCATCGCGTCTAAAAATTGGACCCATTCTCGACCCATTGTCTGGTCTACCCGTCGGGTCCAAAGTCTAGTCGCATCCATTGCGAAGATCTCTCTCACCGTCAATCAATCATATTTTTTAAATAATATTTAGACTTCGAAGAGAGAAACTATGGTGCATGATAGTGATTTTTTATCTTTGCTCTTGCATTTTATTACTAGGCTGACGTGGCTCTCTATCATTGCTTACATGTTATTTTATTTTATTTGAAAGCTTCATGTGCACCTTTTCTCATTTGAAGAAAATCAAAGTCTTGGGGGGCCTAGCCATTAAATTCATTGTCTTAATTTAGGTATTGGGTTGTCATTGTTATTAAAATATTTGACACTTGGAGCATCTATTTTTCATAAATCATGCATGCACCGAAAATATCAAGGTAATTAACATGCCATTCACTTTTCCTAAAAATTAGTATTTTAGACCCTTAGATACATTTGGCTCATTAGCATCAATTTGCATCACTATCTTAGGTTTGAGACCCTTTTATCTTTTAAGAAAATATCTGACACTTGAGCATTTGTTTCTCTTATTTTGGAAAAAATTAAACCGTTTATTTCAAAGGGATCCAAATAGGGCCATAGCCATTAATTTCATTGTATTAATTTAGGTATTGGGTTGTTATTGATTTAGAAAATATTTGACACTTGGAGCACCTATTTTTCATAAATCATGCATGCACCTAAAATATAAAGGTAATTAACATGCCATTAATCTTTCCTATAAATTAATATTTTATACCCTCTTAGATACATTTGACTCATTAGCATCAATTTGCATCACTATCTTAGGTCTGAGACCCTTTATCTTTTCGAAAAATATCTCGATACTTTAGCATTTGTGTCGCTTATTTTCGAAAAAGCTAAACCGTTGCTTTCACAAGGATTCAAACGGGCCTAGATGCATTACGTTTGTTGCCTTAATTTAGGTTTAGGGCCCATTATGGTTTCAAAAAGTATCAGATACTTTGATCATTAATTTTTCATAAATCATGCATGCACCAAAAAAATAATTGTAATTTACATGCCATTAAATTTTCGTTTAAGTTAGTATTCTTGACCTTTTTAGCTTTTCAGAAAATATCTGACATATATCTCATGAATTATACAAGTACCTAAAATATCAAGGTAATATACAGTCATTTAAGTTGTTCCTGAAAATCACTCCCTCTTGGATATATTTGGTTCATTAGGTTTAAGCCCCTTTAATGTTTCAGAAAATGTCAAACACTTGGAGCACATGCATTCCATATACTTAAAATATCAAGGTAATAAATAGGCCTGAAAATTATCCCAATATTTGACACATATATTTTTTACCTAGGTGGCGCCACCATAAAATTTACCCAGTTATATGTGAAATACTTGTGTAATTAATAGGATAGTACCACATTATTTTTAAACAAGAAAAAAAAAATAGCCATTTACAATAACCAAAATTTTATTTTAACTTTTTACAGTAAGGATAATATGGGTTTCTCAAGAAAAAAAAAGTGTTGCCATTTATTTTGGGAAAACTTTGTGTGCACCTTTTTAAATTTTGGATATTGCTTTCATACAAAACCAGAATTTGCAATACTCTGCAATCCAAACAAAGCCATAGACACACTGGGTTCACTGCCTTTTTCTAGGTCCAAGGTCGTTATTGTTCTAGAAAATATTAAAACGTGTGTTTTATAAAGCATGTATTTCCCAAAAATATAAAGGTAATAAATAGGCCAATTATATTTTTCAAAAAAGTGTATTTTACATCTTCTAGATGCATTTGGTTCATTGACTTATTTTAAGCTTAAGGCCCTGAATTATTTCAGAAAATAACCCTTTTATATTTTTGGAAAAATTAGACTCATGCTTTTCAAAAGCCAGATTTGAAAACCTAAGATCCAATGGGGCCTTAAATACATGGGACTGATTGCCTTATTTTAGGTTCGAAGTTGTTATACTTTTAGAACATATTAGACAAATGGAGCACCTATTTCTAATTCATGCATATAGTTAAAATGTAAATATAATAGGAGTATCTATATTATGCTCCTGTGGGTTCTCACTGTGGATCTACTCCCTCAATCAAAAGGCTTACATGAGATGAATTTTCCAGTTTGAAACTTTGGAAACTGCCTAAGAACCACTAGATGAGCATTTTCAAAATAGATTTTTGAATTCTAAGTTATTTGATACTTAGATCTCGCTTAAAAATTGGACTGTCTGCGCTCAATCTTTAGCCATTATTTTTTTCTAGTACATAGTGAGTGCAATTAGCTTTTTTTCCATTGAAGTAGTCTATGGATGATGAAGTTGCATCCAAAAAAATGAGGGTCCTAAAATTTTCCTATATTGAATTAGACCCGAGGGAATAAATAGATAGTATACTTCTGCAAGAGCATAAAATATTTTGGCATGCAATAAATAGCCAGTTGGGTTATTCTCAAAAATATTATTTTACCCCTTCTCATGTACATCGTGTTCATTGTTTTATTTTAGGCACAGAGCTTGTTTCTTACCTTGACCATAATATTATCTACAAAATTTGTATCTTGGCTTAGCATTTTATCCCCAATTTACAATACCCAACATTTGTGTTTTGTATGTTGGGGTAAAATGTAAATAAAAAAAGAAAAAGAAGAAGAAGAAAAAAAATAATAATAATAAAAGAGAAAGAGAATTATCTATTTATTGAATTTTGTGGGGTGGGTACCACACATCTAGTCTTTTGTGTTTTAAGCGTTGTACATGACCATTGCGAACGCATGGTCATGAAAATCATCGCCCTTCAATCCATACCTTAGAGGGTGATGGATAAAAAGTTAGTTTCCATATAGCATGAGATTGACTTCATCGCGGATCTAGATCTCCCCCCTCCATGGCCGTCCAACCCATACCACTAGTGTCCTGTTCTCACAACGATGAAAAGATATTGGATCTCAATCACAATTAATAGCATATTCTTAACCATCTATTTTCACATCTAATGACTAATAAAATCTATTTTCATATCTAATGGCTAATAACGATTATGATTTTCTTGTACTACTAACAATAGTATTACACATACTTCTTTTTTTTAAAGTTCTTTTCCTATTTTTTAAGAGAAAATAACATTGAGATTGTATACACTGAGACTATTTACCATTGATATAAGGAGGTCACAATTATTTATGACTATCTGATGTGAATATGATGGCTTGAGTGTGTCACAAAGTTCGTGATTTTTTTTTTTTTGAATTTTGAGTTTGGCAAATGAAATAAATGCAGCATTCTAATTTTTCACCCAATGGTAATATTAATTGTGACTATCTTGTACCAAAGGTAAATGGTCTCCGTATATATATTATAAAAAAAACAACATATACAAAGCAACAACATTGCCCAGTTTACTCCAAAATTACTTACCTTTTGTACTTCTTAAAAAACACATCATGAACAACTCCCAAATACCTAGACTTTGTGAACTTGGGACCTCGCTTTATCGCCGTCCCTTTTGGCCGAGCCTTCATCCTAACTCACCAAGAATGAGGATCAAAATCAACCTCTACCTTACAA